TGAACTTTAAACGGTGTACCGCATGATGTAATAGAGAATACATGGAATTAATCAGCTGTTTAGTGTAATACCGGCTAAAGCCTATCCGACCTTGCCTCAACCAATGTGGCACAATATCATATATAGCCATGGTGCCTCAGCTTTACATACGTACGATGTCCCGCCAAGTGAGTTAAATACAGCATTGAGGCTCCAAATCGTTATTGCGGGATATCGAGTCAACTTAAATAGGTTTTACTGGTATATACTCTCCTACGAGACTTTTAATAAAGGTTGGACAGATGTACGCTTTCGACACCCACAAAATCTTATTTGATATTGAATTCACATGATGATAACAAAATTGTAGGTTGTTTGACGTGCCTTTGGAAGATTAAATGCCACAAGTTATGCCTCGAGATGCCCAAATATTTTAGATGCCAATCAGATGGATTTATCCGTTGCAAAGTATAGCTGATTATCGACGAATCAGTGAGTCGGTTGTATTTGGGGAGGGGACAGGTAAGGGTCATCAGTCACTTGAACAGATGAATCACTTGTTTCGGTGTTCAAGCATGACTGTCGATGGTGTGTCGAGAAAAGTTTTTGTTTTTTGGAAATAAGTAAAACACATGGTGAAAGCAATAAAGCAACACAAACGAACTTTACTGCAAGTCTGGATAGGCATCTGCTGTGAAGGTCAACGCGAGATGGTGTGTTGGGATGGTATTATATACGATCGGGTTTACCTGACCAGATCCGACATATATTGCCACCGTTGAGCACAACTACTGAGGTGATTTTCCAGTTCGATAAAGAAGCCTGCACATTACTCACTTGATGTACGCAAATATCGTGAGCATCATAGTACAACGACACTCCCGTGTTCACCCAATCTCAACCCAATCAAACATTTGGGGAAACAGCTTTCGAGAAAAGTAGATTGTAGGCGGCAAGACAAACCTGCCGGAGAGTTGAAGACCATTTTGCAGACGGGATGGGTTCATGTGCCATGTAAGTTATCTGACGTATGACTCGACGAGTATAGTCTGTAGTATCATCCAGGCTGATGGAAGTGTTTGGCTAATAGTATATTTGACAACATAAAGGATCCTGATTCAGTCAACAGGAAGTAGTTTGACGATGATCTAAGGATCACAACCAAACTGCCAACTTTAAGAGGCGAATGAGAGTGTCTGACATGTTGCATAAGTCCTCGAGATCCATTTGCAATTTCGGGGAACTTCACGTGAATGTTGCATTAATTTACATATCATTTGAAGCCATCAGCAGCTCATTAATTCCACAGTGTGCACATCACTACATTTGTTTGAGTAGAACTATAGTAAACTCGGGGCTACGATTCATGGGCATTGTCAAGCTTAGAAATATCTAAACAGGTTTAATGTTGTCTGTTGTTCCCTCGACAAGACAAATAATGAAGTGAAACTCGTCACTTGCTTTGCACTGACAACGATTGCTTTTTCTGTCCCATTCATAGGAAATTCGTCAGAGACGGTTGGCACGTTGTCGATGCGATCCGGGCACACAAAGGACCCGCTGTGTTGCAGATGATTTGTTAGTACGTGAATGGTTCACGCACAAACTGATTGACGGAGTGTGTATGCCCAAACAAGGAGTGACCAAACAGAAATTGGGTACGTTGTACCTCTGTGTGTGTCTGTTTATGTATGTGTGTGTTCAGAGCAAAAGGTTGCCTGTTTAAAAGGCTAATCTCATTCACTTTTCATTTTTTATCGGTACACTGTAGCTTGGCACTTAAAACATTGTGGAACTTTAAGAAAACCTTTCCTCTAGTTATTTATGATCATTACCACTTTGATTGTTCATCTTCAGCTAGAAATTTTGTGATTGACAAAGACTTTAACCGTACTGATGCAAAATTTACTAATGCTCATCATTTTATCAGTCTCGTTATCATAGAAAAAGCAATGTGGTCACATTGACTGCTTGTTTTCAAACTGGAATAAATTTGTCAGTCAACGTTTCCTAAGTTGATATTACTTTTGTATTTCCTCAAATATTAAGCGAGTTTACTGGTTGGCTCAGCTGTTCAGTATTAGAAAAATGGTGTACGACTGATATGAAAAAAATCCTTTGAGAATGATACTTTTTAACAATACACACCTCAGTGATTTTATTTTCCGGTTCATTGAATACAATCTCACTTGAAATATTCCAGATTAACAATCGATATCTGAGGTGATACAATTCAAATTTCCATCACGCACATCCTCACAGGCATTCAGAGATCATACTTTTTAATTCCTGCTACTGAATATTTATAGTATTCACTTTCCTCGATCCACTACAGTCAGGGTGGCAGGGGGGGGGGAGGCGGAGTTATAGTCGGTCCGAAGAATACCTTAGTTGTGACAGATGACAGAAGGATAGTGGTTGAAGGTGCACAAAAAATACTCTTTCAGCTACGTAAAATCATAAAGGGAGAAGTGGTGTGAATGTTGTGCACAATGATGGAAGGATCTTTGTTGCCCAGCTGCTTCAATCATTAAAAGACATAGGAATGCGATATGGCGTCGGTTGTTTTCTTGTAATTGAACACAAGAACATGTGTATGAACAGCAATATATATATATATATATATATCGCTTTTGCGTATCTCAAATTTGAATTGCACATTTTGATTTTCTTCGGTAAAATCAACGATCCAATCAAGTAGGTTTTCCCTCCTGGGTCCGAGATAGTTATTGTCAAATTGATGTGCCACCTTGTGTCACCACATGGTCCACTTCTCCTCCCTCCCATGTACGGTAAATAAATATTCTCGTAAAATGTGAATACTTTCATTTCAACCACTGCTTAGAATCAACTTCCATTATTGGAAGCATCCATTATGTTTGAGTTTAGACTGGGAGGACAAACCACAAATGGTTATGACAACATCGGTTGCTGTGTAACGCGGTCGATGTGTTAAATCGCTATCATCATCATCATCATCATCATCATCATCATCATCATCATCATCATCATCATCATCATCATCA